GCAGTAATGTATGAGGACTGATATAGTGATATGTTGTGTTTTTGTTTTGAGGAATGAGAACAATAAATAATAATTATAAAAAAAATAACAATGATGGTCGTTAATTCGTTATTCGTTGACAGTGTCACCACTTCTGCAGTTCTGTAATCTGTGCCAAAGCCCACAGACTTCTATACTCTATAGTCTATACGTCTTGTGTTCTGTCTTCTGTACCAGTCGCCAAAATTGAAAATACCATATAATTACCACAGAGTAAATCGTCTATCCTGTGCATGAACATTAGTGCATGAACATTAGAGTAATGTTCATGATACTGTGTCATTACTATCACAGTTTAATATTATTATTATCATGATTATTATATTTTAAAATATATTGTTCTATGTTAATATTCTCATAGTAATATATGGTAATATAGTATAAGGTCTCGTTTATTAATTCTAAAAACAGATTTGACTTTGTCGGCAAGTCTCCTTGAGATCGACTTTTCCTGATTTTTAATATTGATCACTCCAAAAATTGAAAAATTCCATTTCCTATTTTAGTACGAATTTGTTTAGTATTTAGGCGATTTAATCAATTTGGGAAAGTTCATGGCTAAATATCACGATTAAAGATATATCTTTTATCTTGATAAATATATTTAGCCATGGGAGAGTCTATCTGAAGAAGACTTGACGACAAATTCAAATCACAGACTTCTATACTACACTAGATAAGGAACTCTTATACAATGCACATTGTTACAAGTGAAGCTCAGCTGTGAACGGCCGCCATTTTCTCGGTTGGCAAAACATTTCATTTATTATACAAAATGTATTAGGAATAATATTTTTTTTAACGGTCAAATAAAATAGTAAATGTAAAATGACTTATATAAAATATTTTTTTTTTTTTGTAAACTTAATGTTTAAAAATAATAAAATACGATATAAAATAAATCATAATATCATCTTATTTATCATATAAAATACCATACTATTGCCAACCGACCTTGAAGCTTCAATTCATGACCGGAGTTCGCTATCTAGTAATATATAGAAATCTGTGATTCAAATATGTTTTTAGAGTTCTTATCGCTTCACTAGATCGATCGGTACGTTGGAATCATAGATAACATATTATCAATATTATAATGGAACGAAAACACGTACGTCGTACACTTGAACACTTCTAAATTCCGTTTGTTAGACAAAGACAGAAAATCACCTCTCCAATCCATTAACAAAAATATTATATCTTAAAAAAAAAATAATAGTCCGTACTCCGTGATAATATAAATAATGAAATTATAACAAGAAATAATTCCTGTATCACTATTGTTCTATGGTATCACCATTCACAAATAACTGTACGGAGTACGGACTACAGAATTGTTTTTATAGTTCTTTTAACAAAGTTAAATAAATTACCCCATGATTCTATAATCTATTCTATAATATAGACTCTAGTATTCTGTATAGTTGACCAAAGTTTAATTACAGTCCACAGAATAAATTTAATATTATATTCTGTGATTTAATTTATGTGTTTTGAATTGTTTTTCCTTAAATCTTAATCATGGGTAGTGATGGAATTCTTAAAAATAAACGTAGACGAATAAGAGAATTGAAAAATGTTACTAAGCGTCAAAGATTAGATCCAAAACTTTTTAAAATATTACCTGCTGAAATACAGAAAGACACTTCATTGTTAAAATATTGGCGTTCTAGATATAGGTTGTTTAAAAAATATGACCAAGGAATTAAATTAGACAGTGGTAAGCATAAAATTACAATATTATTACCTGTATAATTACTTAAAATATATTTTTGTCTCGATGTTATTGTACTGAGTGAAGAAGAGTTACAAAAAGATGAAAATGTGATGATAAAACAGGTTTAAATAATATTCCCATAGACCTACAAACTTAGCTTATAGGTCTATGGGTATTCAATATCGTTAACAGCTATTGACTTGACAATTATAGTAAAAATAAAAATTTAATTTTCACATATATTATAGAAAGAAATATTTTTTAGTTGCATGTTATAATATTATTATTTTTTAGAAAGTTGGTACTCAGCGACACCAGAAGTAATAAGTCGCATGATTGCTGAGCGGTGTACATGTGATCTGATAATTGATGGATTTTGTGGTGCTGGAAGCAATTCCATTCAATTTGCATTAACTAGTAAAAAGGGTAGGTAGACTTGTTTTTAAAATGTATTCATCTGTTTATAGTTAATCATTTTTCGATTTCAAAATTTTATATGAGACTATTTTTCAGTTATTGCAATAGACATCGACCCGATTAAAATAGAACTTGCACGAAATAATGCCAAGGTTTATGGTGTATCAGATCGCATAGAATTTATTATTGGAGATTACTATGCATTAGCTCCTACTTTAAAAGCAGATGTTGTATTTTTAGCCCCGCCATGGGGTGGCCCTAAATATTCACAAAAAACAACTTTTAACATTGATGATATAATGCCGAGTAATGGAGGTGGTAAACACCTATACGAATTAACACGTCAGATAACCAAAAATATTGCATTCTTTCTCCCAAAGAATATTGAACACAATCAAGTATGTTAAATTTTAACTGAGAATGGGATATATGTATTATATTTTAATCTAACTAATTGTTATTGCTAATATTTAAATCTTAACATGAATATACAGTTATTGAATATAACCAATACTTAATAGTTATATTTAGGGCCGTTCTTACAATGTCCGGTAGAGTGTTCATTAATGCTAACTGACTGATAACAGATTTTATTACCAGCAGAATTCGGTAGGTTAACTTTAACCAGACATTTTAAGGTTTTTTGTTGTCTTCGTCTTACAAGTGCGTAACATTGCACATTGTATGCTAATCATTTTAAGTTCTATTAGTTTAAAAATTAGAGTGAACTGATCTCTTATAAAATTTAAAGGTAAGATTATAATCTAGGGATTTCATAGGATTTTTATTATATTTTGATTTTAAAGCGAGTTATGAGTATTTTAAAATAGTAAATTGTTTGTACATCTTAAACTAATAATTGTTAACTAATGGAGCTTAACTTGATCTGCTAAGCATACAATTTGGACAATTTGGTATATTATGTACTTGTAAGATGGAGGCAAAAAATGTCTGTGTAGCGTCCTCTTAAGGGCTAAGGTTAGGGTTCTAGTTATGATACCAATTTAAAGGTTCCAATAGTTTTTCTTTTAAAATGTATTCTTCTTTAATTTATAATTTTTCACACATGAAATAATAATTTATATTATAGATGTTACTATCAAAATAAAATATAAATACATAGTGGAGTCTCGTCAAGTCTGCATTTGCAGGACTACTGTAGTCATATAATTTATAAGATTTCACAAGAAATTAATCACTAAGCTTTAGTTTTTGTTTATTAAATAACTACTTGTACCTTGCAATTATTAATACAAAATTAATAATCAATATTTTATTTTTTACATTTAAAAATGTGGCTTTTGGTTCCATTTATTTGTAGATATTTAAACTTTTTTCAGGGTTCCCAACATTTTAGGGGTTTTATGGTCTTAGAACCACTTATTTGGCTTGATTCCAGTCCCTGGTTCTTATAATATGTAAATTATAAATGGTTCATGTTATACATTTTGATAACCTACTAATAATCTATTTACTAAATGAGAAATTATTCATTTTTTGTATGTCTATTAAAGTGAGGTACGCTTTATATAAGAGCAATTTTTTTTTATTACAATTTATTTCTGATAATTTTTACATTATATAATATAATAGTATGTCAATATTTGTATTATCCAATGTGTGTGTTTTAATTAAATCTATTTTGTTATTTAGTGTATTTCTTTAGCTGGCCCAGGAAATTTGGCAGAAATAGAAAGTAATTACTTGAACAATAGACTGAACTCAAAAACATTGTATTATGGGGATTTAATTACTACCAATAATTAGTATTAAAGACAAATAAATAATAAAACAATATATAATTCACGAATAACTCAAAATTTAGTATCAATTTTGTATTGATAATTTTTTTTCTTTATTTATTCAAATTATATAACAATATTGGTTACAAATTACAATATAATAGATTAAATATATGATTAACAATTTTTACTGTTATAAAATAACTTTTAAAATGATATGTATGTGTTGCATAAGTGTACGTGATACTCTTAACTTTAATTTTATGATGTTCATTCCTGTAAGCATATTTTAATTAAAATTACAAGTAGTCGTAAAATAATAAAAAAAATGGTTGTTTTGTGCTTTAGTTTGATATCATTTGTTCCATTTTGATTTCTGAACAGAAACATTTTTACATAAACAATAAACATAGCATATTATATCATTAGCTTACAGAGTAATTATATATATAAATTTGACATTCTATAAATAGGTAGGTACTTATATTCAGTTTCTTATTGTAAAAATCATTATTGGAGAGGATGGTAGCTTTAGGTACTTAGTAAATATAGTAAATAGAAGTTAGGTAATGATTCTTACATTTGAATCGTCCACACGATTATTATATTATAACAGTAACACTTAAAATACTACGACTGTAATCGTTTAGGTACATTTATATTATGTTGATATAATTGCTCATAATTCTTATTGAAAAATTAAGAAAGCAGATTTTTATCATCATAATAATTTTCGTATAACTAAAGTTTAAACATAATAATAAACTTAACAACTGACAACATTGGTTGTCAAACTTATAACTTTATAAGCAACTGTCAACTAATGAGTACAGAATATAATTCACTTACAATAAAGATGATGAGCTCAATTAGTTATGATGGTGAGCATCATTCTATTGTATTAAGTACATAATATTCATTATAATAAACCACGAGCATCTATATGTCACCCTAAATTAATTGTTTAATACAACTTTTTTGATTACATACTACCAAGGATTTAAGACAAAAAAATTCACAATTTGATATGTAGGTCATGTTTGCAACAAACAATATTATAAAATAATTTTTTTTTTGGTAACTTTTTATGATTTTTCCGGCCGATTTTTGAATAGTTCTTCAACTATATGTTCGTCAGCTAATGTTGATATGTCACCTACTTCTCTGTCATTGATTGCTACTTTTCGTAAAACTCTTCTCATTATTTTTCCAGACCGAGTTTTTGGAAGACCTGGTGCATGTTGAATAACGTCCGGCATAGCAAAAGGCCCAATCGATTCCCTCACTAAAGCATAATTATTATTACTTTTTATTTATTAATTAATCCCCAGCAATTTAGGCCATTGGGTGGTTTTTAACTGTGGGGGAGGGTAATGTAGGTTTAAGCACGTGTGTTTGTTAGTGGGCACCGGTAGGTATATGCCATGCAAGGGTGGCCTCTCTCCAGACACCGTGACTGTCCAAAGAGAAGTGCCGCCAGTGACCGGATATCAAACCGGCCATTCCGTCCCACCATAATTATTTTATTTGCATAGGTAACTAATGAATACCAACTAGGTGGAATATCAACAGGTGGTTTTAATTCCTTAAAACCTGTATTTATAATATTTATCTGTATGTAAAATTTACCTTTTTTAACTAACTCGGATGAAAGTTTTGGTGTAAAAGTCACTCCATGATTAGGAGTAACAAAACAATAAAGACACTCTCCTTTGATTGGATGTGGTCTTGATACAACTGCAGCTTCAGAAACATCTGGGTGTTCAGTGAGTACAGATTCCACTTCAGCAGTGCTCATCAAGTGCCCAGATACATTTAACATATCATCCACTCTTCCAGTCACCCAAAAGTATCCATCTTCATCTCTTCTTGCACCTACCATGATACATAAATTATTCTCTTGTAAATTGGGAACTTTGAGGTTTGAACATTAAATTAAATTTACCATCTCCTGTACAATAGTATCCTGGAAATTTGCTGAAGTAAACTGATTGGAACCGTTCATGATTTCCAAATAATGTGCGCATTATACCGGGCCAAGGCTTATTGAAAACTAAGTATCCCTCGCCAACTCCTTCAATTTCTTTACCACTTTCATCCAATAGGATTGGTTTAACACCAAAGAATGGAAATGACTATAAATACCGATAAGTTACTTGGTAGTTGTTTGGGACGGTCTCTTAAAGTTGTATAGTAAAATACTTACTGCCGATCCTGGTTTCATTGGTGTACAACCCGGGAGTGGAGTTATAACATGCCCTCCGGTTTCAGTTTGCCAAAATGTGTCTGCTATGGAACATCTTTCTTTACCAATATGTTGGTAATACCACAACCAAGCTTCCGGGTTTATTGGTTCACCTACTGAACCTAATACTTTTAGTGAATCGAGATTATGTCTAAAAACAAAATCAAGTTAATAACTAAAGCAACTAAATTACTAAATAAAGTCTGTACTTCTTCACTGGTTCTTCTCCAAACTTCATCAGTGCACGAATGGCTGTCGGTGCAGTGTAAAACTGTGTAACTTTGTATTTTTCAATAACTGACCAGTATCTTCCATTATCTGGATAAAATGGTGTTCCTTCAAACTAAAGTTCAAATAATAGGTATAATATATTAATATTCAATTATATTTTATTTGTTTAATGTTTTCAAATCAATTTTCATTTTACTAAGTTTGACTTTCAGAATAATAGAAATTTTTTCTAATGATCAAACTGATGATGTGTATAATTAAATTTAAAAAAACTCACTATAACTGAAGTTGCCCCATTTGCTAAAGGTCCATAAACAACGTAAGAGTGGCCAGTGATCCAACCAATATCTGCTGTGCACCAATAAACATCCCCTGGGTGATAATCAAAAACATACTTGAAAGTAGTAGCAGCGTATAATAAGTATCCACCAGTTGTATGAAGCACTCCTTTTGGTTTTCCTGTTGATCCACTAATAATAATAATTTTTAATGATAGTGTATTTAAAAATTTGAACAAATTTCTAAATCATTTATTTATTTGCTTATATGTATCGTGTTCACTGTTCTGTTGAATCCAGATTTCGGATTTTAAATAGATGACCATAATAGTGATAAACTATTATGTTAAACCTAAATATTTTATTTTGTAACACAAAATAAGTATTTAGTTTTTTCAAATGTACCTATATTCAATTTATTGACTATTGTATTTGCCAATTTATTAAGAATAAATAAAATGTAATTAGCTGCGCAATTTTTAAGCTATTACACTAATTAGCAAACACAAACACAATTTTTATAGTAAAGGTACCTACTAACCTCGTGTATAACATAAATAGTGGATCTTCTGCAGACACCCAGACTGGATAACAAGAGGGTTCTACATCGTCCATCTCATCATGCCACCAATAATCTCGTCCATCAGTCCATGGAACCTAAAATACAAGATCCACATTCCACATATTTCTATATACTTAATTTGTCGGTTATCGCATAGGCGCAATTTGAAGTGTATAGGAACATTAGGAACTAGGAAGTAGGTCCTATAATCTTGATCATACTAAAAAAGTCCTACTATAGATCCGATCGATCAACACAAAGTTGATCCGACCTGATCCAAATTCGAAAATCTATCCCTACTAGATAATCCGAAAATTAACCTGGCATGTTATATTAAACCGAACGTCTAATGACAACCCGATCCAAAATTATTTTTAAGTGCCTATAATCTGATATTCGATCCGAATTATTTTATTTTTGAAATAGGCTCTACAGCCCGAGCGGTGTTTGAAGTTCTGGTCCGAACCATTACAATCCGACTTCGGGTCGGGCGAATCCTAGCCCTTGCAGATCTCTAGTAAGTTGTAAGTAGGTACACACGAAGCAGGGATTAAACAAATGTTATTTAATAATAACATGATAAATGAATATGAAATAAACTACTGTTTTTAATTAGCCCATACATATTGATATTTCCAAATTGCGCATATTACCGAGAACGTCAGATTATCATTTAATATAATATTGAGTATAGGTAGGTACGTCTGAGTGTAGATCTATGATGTCGGAGTTAGACCCATTTGTACCATTTGATGTGTTCATGGATCTGTAAAGACGCGGTAAGTGACGAACTACAATACAAGTTGAAACTTCGTGGCCAAAATTCTTGGCTTTGTCCATTGCTAGAATGTGGAAATATATATTTACTTGTTATTTGTTTACAATGTAATTTAATTAATATATACGAAGACGTCTATTAATTAATTACCAATATCACATAGGCTTTTAATGTTTAACAATTTGTCTCCTCTGTATACGCTATCAGCTGTCACAAGGACCTTGCACTTACAGTCGGCCATACGTTCTGCTAGAGAATCGGATGAAAATCCTGCGAACTAATACCCAAAAATATAAGATTATGAACTACATAGAGTAGGTAATTATTATAGTTTATAGACCTGAGAACTAAATTAATTAATACTGGGCATTATAGACACTTAAAACTAGTATTAATTATTATTATTATTTATTTATTAATTGTTACAACGTTGTGTCTTATATATTATAAATTGTTCGAAAACAATTACCCAATATATTAAGGAAAGTATTTTTCATTTGAATATTGAATACCTATAAATCTTTTAAACTTTATTTTTGAAATAATATAGGCTTGAATATATGAATACGAGGTAAAATAATTAATAATTATCAATATAGGTATTTGCAGATTTCATGTTGTGTTCTTGTGTATACAACTATAGCTAGGTGGCTACATAGGTACTTAGTAAGTACCTCGTACCTATAATGGTTATTCAGTAGGTATTCTTTCTGATTGATTTTAGTATTTAGGATCTTATATTCTTATACTTAATAACAGTAATCCAACCCAAAGTTTATCGATTGATTTTGCTATACTTGCATGTGTTGTTCTGTAATCCGCTGTATATGTTTTTATGTTCTGTTACTTCTTAATTTACAAAAAATTATTATATTTAGTACCTATCTACATATTACCCAATCGTCCCAAACAATATGCCAATACGCATCCATTAAGATAAATTACCTATGTATATATTATCCTACTACGTACCTAAATGAATACCCCTGTCGGCTAATCTTAGCCAATATAGTCTATAAAAATCGTTTAGAACTTACAACAATGGAGTGAACTGCGCCGATTCTTGCACACGATAACATAGCAATCACGATCTCAAAAACCATTGGCATATAAATTGCGACACGGTCACCTTTAACTACGCCTTTGGATTTCAATACATTTGAAAACCGGCATACTTCTTCTAAAAGTTTTTTATATGTGATTTTGCTATAGTCTTCCGGATCATTGCCTTCCCTAAACAAATAAAACACGTTTTATGAATTAGCGATAGGTACTTGATATTAATTAATTAATAAATAATTATTGTCTGAACTAAGATCTGACTACATAGGTAGGTAATGATTTTATTCCAAAATGTTAATACAAACAATTCATGAATATATTAAAAATGTATAATGATTAATAGCTACATACCTAAATAGAAATGTGATTCTATGTATATGTATTATGAGGACGTTACACGGACATTTGTTGTCTCCGTCTTACAAATGAGTAACATACTTACCAAATTTCACGTTTAACTCTGTTAGCTTAAAAATTAGAGTGAATTTTCAATTTACCTCTTATAAAATTTAAAGATGAGATTATTATCTAGGGCATCTCATAGGCTTTTGTTATATTTAAATTTTAAAGCGAGTTATGAGTATTCTAAGATATTCAAATAATTTGAAATTTTAAAATACAACAAAAAGCCTATGAAATGCTCTAGATAATAATCTTACTTTTGATTTTTATAAGAGGTAAATTCACTCTAATTTTAACTAACAGAGTTAGTCGTGATCTGCTGAGCGCAACATTTGCTTGTAAGACGGAGACAACAAATGTCGGTGTACCTAACGTCCTCTTATGTTTCAATTGTAGATATAATAATAATCATGATATAATCATTTACGCGCACTTTTTGTTGGAAATTAAAACAAGTTTTTGAAATTGTGTTGAAATTGCACAACAGATTAGATAATATTGTGTCTAAGATTTATGAAAATGTATGAAGTTGAAAAAGTAATATTAATTTTTTATTCCAAAATTTAAATCATTTACAATTGTTAATAATTTAAGTATCTATATGGCATTTGCCAATCACAAATTAATTGTTTATTTATTTTTTGATTTTATTTATTATTTTTCAAATTATTGTGGAGTTAGGAACATTTGCCCCAGCGTGTACTTTTGTGAAGATTGTTATTCACACCAACAGAATAATGAAATTGCGTATACCCCCAGTATAATATAATTGCTAACAAATACCACTATGGCACTATCCATATATTCAAAAATAAAAAGTTTTAGTTAATTAGTTTACTGTTGAAGCATTACAGTTTACGGTCTTCACATTTTAATTGTAATGCAATAAACAAATAAATGATGGCACTTCCTTAATTGTTATCAGATAATTATTCTTATCGATATACCTACCTAATTTACATGCTTATATCACAGATATAGATAATAAATTAGACTGCTAACTACTATAATACGTACCACGATTTGAAACTCTTCAAAATATAATTTCATTAAATATTTTACTAGATTATCATACGCCTATTTAAATCCACCTTTGTTTTGTGAAAAATTAAAACCATAGGTACCTACATATTAAATAAACGACCACAGACCGCTAAAAGCTTAATCAAAATTTCGTTAATATTGCTTAAAATTGACCTATTCAGTATAATTTAAAGAAAAATATTGTATTTAGATAAGATAACTATGCATACAGGTATAAATTAAAATAAGTTAATAGGTTGACTTATTCAAATCTAACTTAACCTATTATGAAACCTACAATTTTTATAATATACAGATCGAACATTTTCTTTTATCCACGCTTATTTGTGCATAGTAAAGACCTACCTAGGAGTATAGGAAGGGACGAGCGGGGCAAGTTGAAGTGTGGGGCAAATTGACTAATTTAGTTTTAAACATTTATCACGACACCTAGTAGTGATTTTAAAAGACATTTAGATACATATCAATATAAGCCACAGTCCACATACCTATATAGAATAAAATGATTATATATATATATATACATATATTGTGCAGATTATCATTATTATAAATTATTCTCAATATTTTAAAATAAATTATGAACATTTTCAGTCAGTTATTAAACGAATTTTATTGTCGGTACAATAAATGGAAACATTCAGGCTACAATAATTTATTTAGATTTTATTTCAAACGTTTTAAACTAAATTAGAACTATTAGTAAATAGTAAATAAATAATATTTTTATTTTATATGAGATCGTAATTACTGCATGTTATCTGTTGGTAATACTATATTAGTCATTAGATGCCTATACAATTTATAATATAATTTATAATCAGCATAATAAATATACTGCTACGATGATGGTTTTCTCAAAAATATTTTACGATAAATGTATAAGCAATACAAACATTGAAGCATCACGATTACTGATTAGTAAATACTAAATAGTAGGTAGCCAGGTAGGTCATAGATATCAAACATCAACTATCTCATTAATGTATTTATTCGATCATATGATCAACCACATTGACAATCTGTCGTTATAAAAATAGATTCAAATTTACATTTTAATTGAATAGGTATAGGTACAAAGAAATAATGTTGACAATTAACAAATATATTTTGATTAAAATTGCTTAAATTTATTCAAACAAGATATTTTGTTTTACTCTTCAATATTTTCTTAACGGTAATAAAAAAAACAATCATCATACCAACAAAATCAATACAATTAGGTACTTACGAGAAAATAGTTTTTATATATTAATTAATAGTAATCAGTAACAGTAAATATTTCGTTAAATACACAAATTCATAAATATAAATACATCAATAGATCTGTTTTTAAAATCTAAGTGCTACATTTTACAAAAACGTTGACCTTAATAACCTTCACCTTTCGAACGTAAACTTATATTTGTTCATCGAATTAAACAATCAAATGTGTAGTACGAGATGAAAACAATTTATGTTATAAATGTAAATTGTATTGCCTAATCTGTTTTTAAATAATTTTAATTATTGGTATTATCTATTTAATTATAATGCGGTATGAGAAATCCCTACAGTAATGGAGAAATGGTGATTTTTTTGTGAAATTTTATAAAATTCTGTAAATGTTTTTAATAAATATATAAATACAAATTGCTCTTATAGAAAAAAAATATTATATAATTTATTTATAAATAAAGATTTGATTAAACGCAGCTTTAGTATTGTTACGATACATAAGCTGTACGAATGTACGATTAAAAATATGTTACCTAATAATTCATACATTATGGTATTCCCTATAAGTACCTACTTAAATAAGGTAAAAAATATCAAAAATACAATACACATTTTACTTTCATGATTTTTAATCAAGGAAGTATGGAAGATAATTGAAATGAAAAAAGTCTAAATTTTGAAAACTTCAAGAATTTGTGTTAAATAGGAAAATAACAAAAATGTGGGTAATTTAGCTAGTTTTAATATAAAATATTAAAATATTAATGAGAGATTTGGTATCACACCCAAGTGGTATAACCACTTGAATCCATAAAAACGTCGGCGTGAAATAGGGCTGAGGGTATTTTCGGTATACCCTAAGTATCGGTATCCGGTATTTTAAAATTATTTTGGTAAACCATATATCGTAAAAAAACCGTCTAAACGGTATACCGTAAAAACCGTCTAAAAGGTATACCTACCGTAAAAAACCGTCAAAACGGTACACAACTTGAGTAGGTACCTACCTACTATCTATGTGTGTTCCTTAGCTTCAAATTGATTACTTCTAAAGTTTAAAGCTATACTGTAGCAGTGTAAAAAAATAAAGATAAAAAATACCTATTCATGTAATCATCTTGTTTTATAGATGTAGATAGTCGAAAGGTAGGGACAGATTAAAAAAATCCACTAGGTTTAGGTACTAGTTACCTACTTATGTTTTTCAAAAAATTGAAGCAAAGTACAAGAATTTACATAGGTATATTAACTCAATATTACAGTAAAAAATATCGATACTAGTAAGATTTTATTTATTATTTCGGTTTATATACCGTACGTACCATATCGGTATTTAGATATACCGAAACAGTTCGGTTTTGCGGTATACCTACCGTTCAAACCGGTATTGAAATTAATACCGTAATACCGAAAATTATTTTCAATACCGTAGGCCGTGAAAAGTCCCAAAGTTTCTATTTTTTAACTTTGGTTGATAACTCATTAAAAAGGGATTATCAAGTAGATACTAGATACCTACTATAAATGTGGAATTAAAATTTTTTTAAAAAATTATTTCATTTTTCACAGATAAAAAAAAAAGATATTTTTCGCTAGATTTTCATTTAGAGAGGCAGATTTCCGAAACTGGAGAACAGATATTGTTCTTTGGGGTTTTGATAGATTTACATTGGCTAGGAGAAGTGCAGTGAAGATTTTCAGAACTTTAACTCCAATCGTTAATTCACTACAAAGCTGTAAAGCTGAAAACATATAAAAAACTCCCAATAAAATTTGTTTTAATTTTTTTTAATGTTCTTTAGTGAATTAACTATTAAAGATAAAGTTCTGAAAAATCTTCACTGCACTTCTCCTAACCAATGTGAATCTAACAAGACCCCAAACAACAAAATCCGTTCTCCGGTTTCGGAGATCTATCTCACTAAATGAAAATGAAAATGATTTTTGGCTGTTCACACCGACATTTTTCTGGATTCAAATATTGTTATACCACTTGGGTGTGATATCAGTTAATAAATTTCTAAAAATTAAAAAGTTTACATGCCGATCCCTGACTTGGCAAGCGTTTTTTTTAAAGCGTTCAAAATTCAAATGTTGACAAAATTGAATATGCAAACGTAAAATAACAATTTTTCCTCAAACGATTTTAGTTATTTTGTTATTATAAATTAGGGTAAGTGGATAAGTCGCTCTGTTATACAGTAAGTTACAAGTGGGTCAATGTATAATGGATTGTATTAAACTTGAATTCAATGATATAATATCATTGTATAAGAAAAACGATTCTGAGCGGAGACGGTTTGTCAGTCAGGATATTTTATATTGTTATTATTAATTATTATAGCCTGTAAGTTGAATTAATATTATTATTTTTTATTCATTGCTATGGTGATACACAACGCGTTAGAAATTAGGATCCCATTTTTAGCGGTTTTTCCCGTGGCATTAAATAACTATTGTGAAAATCGAAAAATGACCTCCCTAAAGTACTATCTTGATCCAATTTT